CCAAGGAGAGATAGGATCTCGTGGAATGCTATGATAGCCGGCTATTTTGAGAATGAAGAATGTTTAGAAGGATTTAGGTTGTTCTTAATGATGCAGAGGTTTTCAATAGTTCCGGATTTGATGACCATGACGAGTTTGATATCTGCTTGTGAGCTACTCGGTGACGATAGATTAGGCAAAGCAATCCATGGTTATGTGATCAAAACAGATTTCGGTGACGATGTTTCGGTGGATAACAGTCTGGTTCAGATGTACTCAAGTATTGGGTATTTGGAGGAAGCGGAAAAGGTTTTCTCGAGAATGGAGAGTAAAGACGTTATGTCATGGACAGCGATGGTTTCGGGTTATGATCACAATGAGCTTCCTGATAAGGCTGTTGAAACTTACAAAACGATGGAGCTCCAGGGTGTTATACCGGATGAAATTACTATAGCTAGTGTTCTAACCGCTTGTGCTTGTTTAGGCCATTTAGACATGGGTCTCAAACTTCACGAGCTTGCTATCAGGACTAGGCTTATCTCATATGTTATTGTCGCAAATACTCTCATTGATATGTATTCCAAGTGTAAATGCGTTGATAAGGCTTTGGAAGTGTTCCATCGTATCCCAGAAAAGAATATCATATCATGGACGTCGATTATTCTTGGACTTAGGATTAACAATCGGTGCTTTGACGCTTTGATTTATTTTCGGAAAATGAAACAGTTGGTAAAACCAAATTCAGTTACTTTGGTTTCTGTCCTATCTGCATGTGCTAGAATAGGAGCTTTGATGGCTGGAAAGGAGATTCATGCTCATGTTTTAAGGACTGGTGTAGCTTTTGAGGGCTTTTTACCCAACGCCCTCTTGGATATGTATGTACGGTGTGGAAGGATGGGTCCTGCTTGGAATCAGTTCAACTCAAACGAAAAAGACGTTGCAGCGTGGAATATTCTGCTAACAGGACATGCCCAGCGAAGGCAAGGAAGGCTTGCTGTGGAGTTATTTCACAGAATGGTAGATTCCCAGGTGACTCCAGATGAAATAACCTTCATTTTGCTACTATGTGCTTGTAGTAGATCTGGTATGGTCACTGAAGGTTTAGAGTATTTTAGTAGCATGATGCCTTATTACTATATCACTCCTAATCTGAAGCACTACGCGTGTGTTGTCGATCTACTTGGCCGTGCTGGACGCTTGGATGATGCCCATGAGTTCATACGCAAAATGCCTATAAATCCAGATGCAGCCATATGGGGCGCTTTGTTGAATGCTTGTAGGCTTCACAGGCGGGTTGACCTTGGGGAACTCGCGGCGCAACATATTTTTGAAATGGATGAGGAGAGTGTGGGATACTACATTCTCTTGTCTAAACTATATTCTGACAGTGACAGATGGGATGAAGTTGCGACAGTAAGGCGGAAGATGAGAGAGAGAGGTGTAATTGTAGATCCCGGATGCAGTTGGGTAGAAGTAAAAGGAAAAGTTCATGCGTTCCTAAGTGGTGACAGTTTCCATCCTCAGGTAAAGGAAATATGTGCAGTGTTGGAGGGATTTTATGCGAGAATGAAAGGAGCGGGTTTTGGAGGAGCAGAAAGAGGTCCAACTGACAACGTCGAAGCTTCAAAAGCCGATATTTTTTGTGGGCATAGTGAGAGGCTGGCGATTGCTTTTGGCCTTATAAATACCGCCCCAGGGACACCTATTTGGGTAACGAAGAATCTATACATGTGCCAAAGCTGTCATGACACGGTGAAATTTATCTCTACGGTTGTGCGGAGGGAGATTTCGGTGAGAGATGTTGAAGAGTACCACCATTTTAAAGATGGCATCTGCTCTTGCGGAGATGAGGGTTATTGCAACAAAACCTGATCATTAGAGTTTTCTAAATGGATTTTTGCGATTTGTATAACTTTAAAATAGGGCCCTGCCTGACCAGTTGAATGTTGTACACTTGACGGTGAGGATGCGGGTTATACGATCATTGATTAGAACAAAACCTGATCATTAGAGTTTTCTAAATGGATTTTTGCGATTTGTATCAACTTGATAATAGGGCCCTGCCTGACCAGTTGAATGTTGTACACTTGACGGTGAGGATGCGGGTTATACGATCATTGATTATCTCTTGAATTCCCATGTAATTTAGGGTGCTAAAGAAGAACAGAAAGATGATTTGCATAGAAAATCTTGGAAATACAGATTTAACAATTGATACCAACTCGTCACCTTCTGATTGTACAAGCAATCTAAATAAATCTCAAAACAATTGTATCCAAGCACTGTTTGTCGCCATGGAGTGGGTCGTCGTTGTTGTCGCGGGACGGGTTGGCATTGTCATCCTATTGGATTGGGGCTGTCTATGAAAAACAACATCTTGGATGCAATTTTTCGAGATTATTAATAGGGCTGCTTTGAAGATCCAGACTTAAGGGTAAGGGGGCAAAAAAAAAAAAAAAAAAAAAAAAAAAAAAAAAAAAAAAAAGCCAAACTGACCCGCTCATACCACCCCTCATCGCCATATATGTGTCACGTCATCAAACCGTCAAACCGCACATCCTGCCGTGAAATAACGGGCGATTACGGTTTGAGTTTTCCCAAATCGCACTGTCCCACCAAACTGCGGTTTGAAACCGCCTCATAATTACTATTAAACGTAAATTATGAAATATTAATCATGGTGATGATTGTTTTAATGTTGATGATCTTTTTTATAGCTTTAAAATATAGTAAATTGATAATAGTTGTCTTTAAAACGTAGTAAAAAACTTACAAAAAAGATTTGTTCTACATTTGTTATTTTTATTCTTTTATTATTAACATTTTTCAACAAATATCTAATAACGTTCAAATTGTCCAAACCACCCGCCTCAAACCGCCCCACCCACCATTTAAAATAGGCGGTCTTGTTTTGGGTTTTTTCCAAACTGCCTTATTGCAAAACCGCACTGCTCAAAAACCACCAAATTGCCTACCTGTGCACCCTAAATATGGTGGTGATGAGCCGCTATCATTTATTGAATATTGAGCATTTTCAAATAGGTGTTTATAATTTGCATCTCCTAATAATTAATTTTTGTAACAAAGATTTTACAAATTAAACACTCAAGACTCTGATCTTATCTGACAAGATAAGATTTACATTGTATAACTTTATATTTATTTTATAAAGGACAAAATGACTTTTGACAAAGTGGATCACATACTATTTCACTTTTGACTAATTTGAACAAAGGACAGAATCACTTTTGACAAAGTGGCAGACATACTATTAAACTTTTGACTAAGCACACAAAACAAATAAACTTATTACAAGATAAGATTTCAAGATAAGATCTTGTGACTTCTGCAAAAGGTGACAACCAGAGCCTTCTTTTTCAGTTAAAGGGACCCGTTATAGTAGGAGCTATAGTCTGATAAGTCAGACTTCATTTAACCATGCTCGTAAAGACACCACAATCGTTATCATTTGCTAGAATTATAATAGACGGAAGTGAATTGAGTGAGTATTTTAAAATAGATTTTTACATATTAGAAAGTATTTTGAATGATATTGAAAAATCCAAATGAGGGGTGACACTTTCAAAAAAGGTCATACTTTGGGTGGATATATATGAAAGTAATATTTTATAATTTATTGTAATAATTAGTTAGACCACTATATTAAAAAAAAAGTATAAAAGAAGAAAATGGTAGTTGGAGGTGAAGACACGTGCATATGTGTGATTTCATTTGTTGAAGTTTTCTATTTCTCATTTCTGATACTTAAAATTTTTCTCACAGGACACGAATAAATGTATTATCAATAATTTTTTATTTTTAACCGTTAAATTTATATCAAAAATTATATATTATGCGTATTTTTTTAGTATGATATAATTTTAAATAAATTCAACAGTTAAAAATTAATACTCTGTTAGAGAGAGACTGTACTAGAAAAAGTCTCGAAAATAAGCGTATATCACGTTTTTAAAATGGTTTTTTAAGCTATGCTTAGTTTTTAGTTTAATGAAATGTAATAAGTTGTTGGAATATAATGGAATGATAATATGAATATATTGTTAGTTCTATTGTTTGTTTGAATATAAAAATTAATATTTGAATCACAATAATTATATTGAAATTTAGTATTTTGACAAAGAGAAATGCTAACGTTACTTTTCTGTCACTTTTTTTATCGTTTTATGTATTTATTATTTAATACGTAAATTTTATTATCTCATTTTTTGTTTAAATAATAAATAAAAAACTGTTTTTAAGTCGTACCTAAACAGGCCCTAATTTTCTGTCATATGTCCGCCTAGATCCAATTCTTTGGTTCGTTTGTTAGTTGATTCTTCTCAGTTCCTTCCACAACTCTGATAGTAATTTATAAATATTTCAAATGTAGGGACAAAATAAAGTGAATCTAAGGGACAAAATAAAGTGAAACTAAGGAGTTGTTTAGTACATGTACTCAAAACTCAAACTATGATGTTATTATCATATTTTTCTCTCATAAAAAATTTGAATAAAAAATTTCTCATCAATAATTCTCTCACAAAGAATTTAACTCAAAACCCAAATCATAATTTAAAGAAAAATAGTAGAAAATAGGCCAATATGAAAAGCTTAAGAAAATATATAGGTCAATTTTTAATTATAGAGATTAATAGGCCATAACTTGTCAAGTTATGGTTCATAACCAGATAAATTATTGACAAACTTATCAAGTTATGGTTCATAACCAGACAAATTATGGACAGTTATGGACAATAACTTGTCAAGTTATAGTTCATAACCAAACAAGTTATGGACGAAAATAGTAATTTAGACTATTTATTAACTTATGTAAACTATTGGCCTATTAATTTTAATTTATCTCAAATCTTAACCTATTTTTCTCTTTTTTTCTAATCTAAACGGGCCCTAAATTAACAATAAGACTTGAACTATTTCTCAGGGAAACGGAACAAAAATAATTCAGATTACTACAAAACACTGATAAATAGAAACCAACAAATAATTCAGAATAAAACTTAAAAATACACATGTTCAGTACAATTCTGTTTGTTCTTTTACAAAAACCTCCGAGTTGCTTTCTCTTTCAATTCCTTCAATAAACCGAAACTAAAGTCTTAAGGTAAATATGTGCGAAATCCACTGGTGACACAAGAGTGGAAGCACTCCTAAGTTTTTGGGTATGTAAGTTATAAGAAACCACACCTTCATCCTTAGCTCTCATAAGAAGCTCATCGCTCTTCCAAAATGCTAATGGGCACCAAATGCCTTCTAGAGGACCAAACGTTCGATATTTGGTCCAAGAACGAGGACCCGTGTGCCCATCCGCGCATACCGCGGAGTCACTCATCACCCACATCTCAATAGATCCAATAGTTTGTTCTTAAAAATACACATGTTCAGAATAACGACAGAATAAAACTTACAAATACACATGTTCAGTACAATTCTGTTTGTTCTTTTACAAAAACCTCCTAGTTTTTCTCTTTCAATTCCTTCAATAAACCGAAACTAAAGTCTTTAGGTAAATATGTGCGAAATCCACTGGCGACACAAGAGTGGAAGCACTCCTAAGTTTTTGGGTATGTAAGTTATAAGAAACCACACCTTCATCCTTAGCTCTCATAAGAAGCTCATCGCTCTTCCAAAATGCTAATGGGCACCAAATGCCTTCTAGAGGACCAAATGTTCGATATTTGGTCCAAGAACGAGGACCCGTATGCCCATCCGCGCATACCGCGGAGTCACTCATCACCCACATCTCAATAGATCCAATAGTATCGCTACATCCAGGACAATATAGCAGAGCAAGAGAATCGTTCCATGTTTGAAGGCTGGTAGAAACCAAATATCCTCGACTTTCAGCGCGATCGGGCAATGCCACGCGACGAAATTCCTCCTCGCACATGTCAAATGAGATCATCATCTCCTTTTCAGAAGAAAGGCTAAACAACCAGTAATAGACTCCTCTGCAGCACTGCTCTTGGAAGGTGTTTTTAAGAGAAGCAAAAACCAATTGGAAAATCTCCTGTTCCGATTCGAGAACATTCATCTCGATCTCTCTCCAAGAACTAGTGCCGAAAGTGTATACCTCAGCTACAAAAGAAACGCCCTCACGTGTAGAAACTCTAACTACCTTGTAAAAACCATTAACGCAACCGAATCCCAGCATTGCAGTGGAATAGTCGTCAACGGCGGACGAATTCGGAAGAAACCTGCATTCCTTGGTCGTTGGATTGCATAACAAAACCTTCTTACTCACACAGCTATATAAACAGAATATCCCATTACAGTGACAGCCCAGAAAAGGCCTGGCATACTCTTTATACAGCTGAAAGAGCGGCGACATCGAATTTTCGATAACGAATTTGATGTGATCATCATCACCATCTTCGCGGATAGTGAGGAACAATTTCTCTGGCCTTGTATAGGTTCTCCAACCATAATTTATGAAAAAGAAGGATTTATCGGACGAAATCTTGTTGAGATTGCGATGGTGTTTCGCTACGAAATCCCCGCCATTGATGAGGGCATACCAGGACTTGCAAACGCACTTGAATCGTAACAGAGACTCTGCCGGTAGCCATGACAAGATTTCCACCACCAACTCCATTGGAAAATCCATAGGCCTCTCCATTCAAACCTCCTCCCAATCAAAACTAGGGTTTTTTGTTCCGTGTCAAAAAGGGAATTAATTCGCACATTGTTGAAAAATCGAAACAAAAAATCGAAATTCTAACTTCAAATATAAGCTTGGACTCGTGATAACAACTACTATGTCAAATAAAACTACACAAAAAAAAAAAATCCAAACAAGTTTCATTTCGAAAATTAAGAGAAGATTGTCAAAATCATAATTTACTAACCTTCAAAAAAAATAAAAAAAGTTTAGATAGCAATTTGTGCACTGGGTAATTTGCGGTTCGAATCTTCTAGGGCTGGTGATGAAGATTGAAGAAGCTCTATGCCCAGAACCTCAGGAAAGGCACTCGAATCACCTTTCGCTTCCTCCCTCTCCTGATCACAAGTCGGTTGAATCATTTTGGTACTGTTGAGAAAAAAAGAAAAAAAGCATTTTTGTACCCTTATTATTATTTTTTTTTTAAAGAGACGTTTAATTCATAAATTAAAATTATTTTTATTTATATATATTTTTTATTAAAAAAAATATTATAATAAATTATGAATCATGATTCAAATTATAGTATGAATCTCTTTACTAAACGTCTCCTAATCTAATAAGAGTAGTAATCCGTCTTAACGGTACTCTCATTTTTTAAGAGTTGAATCTGATCAAATTATATCATATTAAAAATATGTATAAAACTTACAAATTTTAATATAAATTTAATGGTTAAGATAAAAGATTACTAATACTTTATTTTTACAAAAATAATTAGCAAAAAAATTGTAATTTAAATTTTAAGACGCATAATTTATAATGTAATATTATAATTAATGTGCTAATTATAAATGTAGTATTTAAATATAATAAATACTCTTTAATGTAATGTTTTTATTTTATTAAATTTACCATATATTATATTTTGTAATAAATTTTTCATCAAGTGTAGTATATGACAAATTTTACATTTATTTCTATTGGTTGATATATTTTTTATTTAATTATTATAACTTTTTTAAAAAAAAATTAAAAGTTTACTTTTATAACTTTTAAACCTTAATAATTATAGGAAAAATTAAATTTTAGCATTTTAAATAAGATTATGTATTGGAGTACATAAAAAATTAGAGATTTTTTCTAGTGTTACTCCCTTTTGAGGATATAGGTAGGACTCAAATTTATTACGCGAATGATCTAGATTGTGTGGTGTAGAACTTACATCTATTTTCGGATCGTTGATGTTTGGTTGGAGAATTCAAACTATGATTTGAATCATGGTTAATGGTTCACTACAGTGTTTTCTCTCACAAAAAATATATGTAAATCGAAAATTGTTTTAATCATATGATTCTAATCCACGAACCAAATGTCAACGTGGAGGGAACTTAAATTTGTTTTTCATAGTTTGAGTTCAACAAACATTGAATTAATAGTACCTCAATGAAAGAATCGTCACAAAATGAATGAAATGTAGCACGAAAGGTCACGTGATTGATAGGTGTTGTTAAAAACGTTGTTGTTAAGGTCCTTTGCGCAAATTAAGTGCCCATTGACCAAATTAAATTTGGTTTTTAATGTCTTTTTTATTTATGGAAATTTAGTTTTTTTCATAGGAATTTTCTTTGGTAAGTTTCTCTATTGGTAGTGTCAGTTTCTAACTGTTAAATTAGGTTAAAATCAGGTGTGTAGAACATATAGTTTATAATAAAAATTTGATAATTGAAAAGTAAATAACTAATGATAGTTAATTTTTTCTGGTTTTATCAAAGAAACTCTCTTTTTCATATAATAGATTATAGTTTTTTATGACTGCTCTCCCTTCTTAAGAATCTTCATGTGGATCATCATAAATTGTTATGTGATAACCAAGTAACATTGCATATAGCGGCCAATCTTGTTTTTCATGAGCGTACAAAACACATAGAAAGTGATTGCCACTTTGTTAGAGAGAAGATTCAAGCTTGTGTATTGAAGACACTACATGTTTCTTCGCAACATCAGCTAGCAGACTTGCTAACAAAACCTCTATTTTCTGGACAATTTCATGCTTTACTTGGCAAGATGGGGATTCATAACATTCATTCTCCATCTTGAGGGGAAGTATGAGAATAGTTGGGATCCTTTTGTAAATACATAAAGTTATGGACTATTTAGCTATTTTTGCTTTATTTTCTTCTTTCTTTTATCTTCTTAATTACTGAGCTGGACTTGTTCACGTTTTGGGGCATTTCCTCTCAACAACATATCCTTCCTTTTGTACTCTGTAATTTTCAGTTGAAAGAGATAATCAATCTTTCTTCTCCAAATTTCTCTAATATTCTCTGATAGACTCCTTTCAAAAACAAAATTCCTTATAAGTTCATTAGTTTGGGAGAAGAACAAGTATCCTAAATAGAAGCAGATTGTTTATCAGACAATCTCAACAGACAACAGAAAGTGAAGGCCAAAAGTTTGATCCATGTACCACACATCATTCTTTGAATTGAAAATACAAATTAGGAAACAAAACCACGAATAAAGAAACCACACATCCATAATATAAAGCATATAAATACAAAGGGAACCGTTCAACATTATATAATAAAACTAGTTCATCTCTAATCTTGCCCTTCAAATCCTTCCATGCACAGAAACCAAACTCTTTATGTAAACAGAAGCATTGCACATTAGCGAGCCAGGAGGGATGGGAAGATTTCCAAGTCTTTTGGCATGTAGGTTGTAAGAAACCGCGCGTCCATCGTCAGTGCTCATAAGGATCTCATCAGTCTTCCAAAACAATATTGGGCGGCAAATGCCTTCTAGGGGGCCAATGCTTAGCTGTTTGGTCCAGCAACAAGAAGCTTTGGACACACCAGAAGAGTCAAGCATTACCCAGATGTCAATAGGCCTTGTAACATCATCATAGGAGTAACGAAACAAAGCAACCGATTCATTCCATATCGCAAGGCTCGTGTGCAATGACCTCCCCTCTTGTTCACCATTGATGTTAATAGGCAACGATATCCTATAAAATTGCTCGTTCGACATGTCGAAACGAATGATCGTTTCCTCCTCGCAGCGCATAGGGCTCAGCAACCAATAACAGGCTCCTTTGCAGTACCGCTGTTTGTGAACATTTCGACCATAGGCAATACTTAAAATGAGCACCTCCAGTTGAGATAACGAAAAATTCAACTTGATCTCTCTCCAGGAACTAGAGCCTACAGTGCATACTTCAGCTCGTAAGGAGAGGTTATCTCCACAGTCCAAAAGAACAGCTCGAACAACTTTGTAGCTATCAACTCTAGGATCATAGCCAAACCCAAACATGATTCCGCAAGTTTTAACACAAAAACACGAATCTGGAAGAAGCTTGAATTCTCTGGTTGCTGGGTTGCATAAGATAACATTGTTGGTAATCTGTTCCCCATATAGACAAAAGATGCCATTGCACTGAGAGCTTACAACGTACTCATCTCTATGCCGCTGGAAAAACGGCGACAGGGAATCTTCAACAACAGAATAAACATGTTCACCGTTTTTGTCGTCGTCGTAGATAGTGAGAAACGAGCTTACCGGTTCTTCAAATTCCTTGCCATAGCCAGTGAAACACAAGGACTTCGTGGATGAGATCTTAGTGGCATTGCGAAGGTGTTTCGCAACAAAACCTCGGTCGTTGATAATGGAATACCACAACTTGCAGACACACTTGAATCGAACCAGAGACTCAGCGGGCAAAAATGACATTATCTCCACCACCAGCTCCATCGGCAAATCCAAGAACTTCGCCATTTTTGACTTCCCAGCCCAAACTAAATCTACACACAACAAAACGGGAAGGAGTGAATTTGTTTACCGCTTTAGACCACACTATCAAATATTAAGCTAAAGTTAAGAGTCAATATGGTGGAACCAAAAAAGATCTAACAAAATTAATTTGAACTAGTCGTGTGTATTCAAAATTTAATCAGAAACAAAAAGCATTTACTATTCTTCAGTTCTTCCCAGGACCAAAACCACAGAATTAGCAATAAATTTTTGTTTGAAATTCTCTGAACACTCATGAGAAAGAATATTGACAAGATTATTTTGAGAAAGAAAGAAAAAGATTGCTCCCTCCTTCACCAGTTCCAAGAATGATTATACAACAGATATGACAAATTTTTGCTGGTCTTTATTGAAAAAAGTGAAATTTGGGCAAATAAATAGTTTATTACATCCAATAATCAAAGTACATTATTGAGGATTCGAGAGGTGCAATTGAAAATATTTTGCAACTTCAGCCAAAAAAAAAAAAAAAAAAAAAAAAAAAAAAA